ACTAAAATTTTAACATCATAAAACATTTAAACATATCAGCAATCCCTTAAAAATACACAATCCTTCCCTAATGTATTACTGCTGTACTGTGTTTAGTCAGTCAGTCGTGTCTGACTCTGCGACCCCATGGACTGTAGCCTTCCAGGCTCCTTTGTCCATGGAATTCTCCAGGCAAGAATACTGGAGTGGGCTGCCATGTCCTCCTCCAGGGGATCTCTCCAACCCAGGGATCAAACCCAGGTCTCCCATAGTGCAGGCAGATACTTTACCATTTGAGCCACCTGGGAAGCCCAATATATTATGCTGCTGCTGCTAAGTCACTCAGTCGTGTCCGACTCTGTGCGACCCCATAGACGGCAGCCCACCAGGCTCCCCCATCCCTGGGATTCTCCAGGCAAGAACACTGCAGTGGGTTGTTGCCATTTCCTTCTCCAAATGTATTATGCTACTTCTAATATGTTAACACTAAAATTAGTATTGTTTAGTATAAAGTGTGTTCAGTGACATGATTTTCATTGTAGTTTGCTTACGGTAAGTTTATTGTTGTTTATTTATTTGGCTGCTCCAGGACTTAGTTGTGGCGTGTGAGATGTAGTTCCCTGACCAGGGATCAAACCTCGGCCTCCTGCATTGGGAGCACAGGGTCTTAGGCACTGGACCACCAGGGAAGTCCCCTGCTTGCAGAATAAACAAAGGTTGTTCTCATGTCTTGTTTGTCTTTGTACGTGTTGGTGGTAAGAAGGCTTATTAGTTAGGTTGACTGCATAGCACCTCTGGGAGAATGCTGGATGTTAGCTCTACATTCCTGGGAGGAGACTATTGTGCACAGAGCCACTTTCTGGCAACTGGGAAATGTTCTTACGTTGGCTTTTCAGAAACTACTAATCTATTCAGTATTGAGTATTTAAAAAAAAAATTGTTGTTAGACATTTATCAAGTAGTAAATGGGCTTCAAATTGCTTTTCCTTCTCTTGAAGTGAAGTGGCTCAGTCATGTCCGACTCTTTGCAACCCTGTGGACTGTAGCCTACCTGGCTTCTCTGTCCATGGGATTCTCCAGGCAAGAATACTGGAGTGGGTTACCATTTCCTTCTCCAGGAGTTCTTCCTGACCCAGGGATCGGACCCGGGTCTCCCGCATTGGAGGCAGACACTTTAACCTCTGAGCCACCAGGGAAGCCCTTCCTTCTCTTATTTGATCCTTATAAGAGAAAAAAGCAGATGTTATAAAATAGGGTCCTGGCATATTAAGAGACTTGCATGCACTTATATGTTCAAGGTTATGTTAATTACGGTTGCCTTATAGAGTCCATCTGCAATTTTCAGCCCAGTGTTTTCTCCATTACAGCTATTGACTTGTACATAGTGAATTTATATGCCAGTGTGAAGTCCTGTATAAGCAAAGGGAATGAAGTCGCATCAGGTTGCATCCAGGTTGCTATTTAAAAGGAATTGTGTATTCGAATGGAATTATTTGGAATCTTACAAACAAAGGAATCAACTTCCTTTGTGTCAGTGGTTGTCAACAAGGGGTAATTTTGCCTGTCCGCACCCCAGTAGCTATTTGGCAATGTCTAGAGACATTTCTCACTGTCAGAATTTGGGGGGGGCGGGGCGCTGTGCGCAGGAGCTACTAGCATCCAGCAGTGCTGCTCAACACCTCCAGGGCAGAGGACAGCCCCCGCGCGGTGAGAAACAAACTGTCATTTCTCCTGAATGTCAGTTGTGCCGAGGTTCATCTGCCCTGCTGTATGTATTGCAAGGAATGGAATTACCAGGAGCCCTCTCAGCCAGAACAGATTTTGGGGTGGGAGTGTGGGCGGGGAGGTAGAGTAGGTGATTACAGATGTGGCTGTTGAAGTTTTGATGGATTTATCTGATTTCCTTTTTCTTGGCCTTTCTTTGTGCCAACACTTGGCAGAGCAATAGTAGAGAAAACAGTGAAGAAAACTTCTTTTTGCAAGCAACTGAGAAGAGTGGTCCCATACCCTGAGCTAATGATGTCAGTCCACTTCCTGTGACACTTGCAACTTCACTGCAAGCCAGCCATCCATGCTATTGGGCTCCCATGATGTCTAGGCACATACATGACTTTGGGTTTTGGCAAGACTGTGAGAATTATAAACTAGCCAGTTTATTTCCCAAGGTATTTTATAATCATAGTTTGCCTTGGGAGGATCCACGTTCCTTGTTGTTTCTATATCATGTGCCGTCTGTGAGTGTCTTTGGCTAAAATACTCTTGCTTGATTTCATTAGCCTAAAATCAGAGAAAATAGATGTTATTTTTTAGAGGATTTTTTAAGTTCACAGCAAAATTGAGTGGAGTACAAAAAGTTCCCATATACCTCCTGCCTGTGAGCAGATATCTTTGATTTTATTGTAATACTAATTTTCAGATAAATACTAATTTTCAGATAAATTTTATATAGATGCAAATGTTATTCTGTTAATGCAGAGTTCCTTAGTTCCAGCTTTCACTAAATATAAAGCAAAAGTAAGGAGAAGATGGGTTTTTACTAAATTACGGGTTTTTTTTTTTTCCCTGTGAAGTAGAAGAAGGAACCTCAGTTTATCTTAATAGGCTTCTTGTTGAGTTTGGCTACCTAAAGTTCTAGGGCATTCATCTTCCTTAAAGTTTTCCCATGTAGTTGTACATTACCTTTTTATATTGGGGAGATTTTTTTTTCCCTCCTGTGATGTTTTCCTTATTTAGAATTCAATTTTGGGTTAACTGAAACCTTGAGAGTCCCTTGAACTACAAGGAGATCCAACCAGTCCATCCTAAAGGAGATCAGTCCTGGGTGTTCATTGGAAGGACTGATGTTGAAGCTGAAACTCCAATACTTTGGCCACCTGATGTGAAGAGCTGACTCATTGGAAAAGACCCTGATTCTGGGAAAGATTGAGGGCAGGAGGAGAAGGGGACGACAGAGGATGAGATGGTTGGATGGCATCACCAACGCAATGGACATGGGTTTGGGTGGATTCTGGGAGTTGGTGATGGACAGAGAGGCCTGGCATGCTGTGGTTCATGGGGTCGCAAAGAGTCAGATGTGACTGAGCAAGTGAACTGAACTGAACCAAAACCAAGTTAAGTTAGTTATTCAGTCTGACAGTGTGACTACTTTAAAGGTTAGAATGTGCCTTAGCCACCAAACCTTGTAATTGAGAGTGTTCTAGGACTTTATTAGTGTGATTTTTGTTAATGCCTCATACAGTTGGAGCCAAGAGGAGACTGATGGTTGTGTTGTCGATTAGAATTTTTTCACCCTGGCTGCCAAGTCTCGTTTGTTCCTTTAGTGAAATATTTCTTCTCCAAGTTGTGACTGATGGACATTCTATAATGTTTCTGTAATTTTTTGCTTCCTTTTCATCATGGGTCTCACAGGCCCCTGGGATTTGCCTTAAACATTTAACTTGTTAAGAAAGCTAAATAATAGTCTATACAAAATCTAGAGCTTGGTGTTACTTAAAAAATAAATCTCAGATAAGGTCTGGCTTTCAAGTGTTGACTATATAAGTTATGTGACTTGGACAAATTATTCTAGAGTCTGTTCCTTTATCTGTTAACTGCACGCTATTCCTCCTGCTCTGCATACCTCAGAACATGAGCAGCAAATGAAATAATGACTGTGAGAGTGCTTTGTGAATTGTACAACATAGTGCAAGTGTGAGGTAGGATGCAAATAGAAGGGTGAGCCTTAGGAAATTACACTGATGGTGAACTGGAATTTTATTTGAAGAATTTATTTTCCTTTCTACTGACTCGTATGGTGTTGATTGCTTTTTCTTCATTTTAGTAAATTCAGAGATGACTTACTGCATTTGGTTGTAGTTTCTATCTTCTTATAAATAATGTCATTAGGGTTAAAAGCTTCACCGACTGAAACGTTTTAATTTAGCATAGGTCAGTGATTGGGGCAAGGGAAAAATTATAAAAAGAAAAGTAAATTCACCAAATAGCCTAGACTGTACCTGATAAAGTGTCGTTGTCGTCGTCATCATCATCATTAGTGGTGATTTCTCATCAATTCTGTAGAACTCAGTTTTCTGTGCTCTTCTCAAGAACTGCAGTTCGTAGTTTGACCTGCCGTCCTACTCTCAGTAAGACGGTTATTCTAAGTGGTAATTACACTTCACCCTCCCCCTCCCCCAAGCGATCAGTTATATGCCATGTGGATTCTGCATGGTAGCAGATCAAGTGAGTTTAGTCACAATTTATGAAAGCCTTTTTAACTTGATAGCATCATATCATATTTGATGCTATTTATAAATAGAACCAGGGAACTAACCATAGGACTCCAGGTCTTGTGTTGTGAATGATTGGTAGAACCATTAAGGACAGAGTGGGCAGGCCACTGGAAATGATTCCATTTAAAGGGTAGCTTCGCCCCTGCCTCCTTGGCCTTTGTGACTAATGGAAAAATACTCTTTTCAGATTCAAAAGCCTATTCATTACGCCTTTCTCCTCCGAAATACATGATCAGTTTTATAATCAGGAAGAACTTAATTATTTTTTTTCTATTGGCTTATGTTTGTTTTTCATAAAATGGCATTTTTTTTTTCATTTAATGGGCTCAGAATACAATCCTATACTGAACTTCACAGGCTTGCTTTTTTTATGTATAGCATAAATCAGCTCAGCTGGCTACATGCCCCACTAACTGAAACTTCATAATGTAGCTGGAACCAAATTATGCTCTGGAGCACTGAGTCTTTAAACTGGACTGTTGGCTTACAAAAGCAAATGGTGAAGCGTCTGTCAGGACAAGAAGCTCCCTCTCCTGATCCTTGAGCAAGTTTTTCCTCACTGATTTCAGGGGCTCCGAGCTCATGAGCAAAATCCTAACCAAGTTTATCTTGCTAGGACAATCTTTTCTAGATGCTCAATAAAGAAAGAATAATTCTTCTCCCGCTTAACCACGAAAGAACAACATATGTTTCTAACGTCAGCTTTTTATTTTTTTTTATCTTTCATTTTTTTGTTGGTAAATCTCCCAGACAACAGCAGTTCTGTAGAGAGTTTAAATATGAAGGAATGGCAGGACGGGCTAAGGGCACTTCTACCCAACATTAACATCAACTTTGGTGGACTGCCCAATTCTTCCTCCCCCTCCAACGCCAACCACAGTGCACCAGCGTCCAACACTGCCACCACCGACAGCCCGAGTTGGGACCGCCCTGGCAGCTGGACAGACCCAGCCATCATCACAGGTAACTTTCTCCCTCCTTCAGCTCCACTGACTGCCACTGGTTTGGTTTTTTAGCACAGATGTTCTAAAAGCAGAGGTCTCGTCAACATAATCTTCCCCCAAAGTCACAAGTGTGTGGCAGCTTCTTTGATCCTCTGGGGTCACGTAGTCTCAGTTGTTAACTCTGTTGGCCTAGTTGTGTAATAAGGCGTTTGGTACCTAGGTTGCTTCCTTTGATGTCAGTAGGTGCTCACGTCTGACAGCATGCGTGTATTTTGTAGGTCTCAAAGTACAAAAGGATCCGACTTATCCTCTTAAAGGAACATACTCCACTTTAAAACATAAAGCTCTCTATTATAAGGCTATCTGGTCCGTGTATCCCTACTAGAGAAGGAGAAGCACAATTGGGAAATACAATCTTGGGGACTGGTTTTTGCAACTCCGCCTCTGTGACACAGGGGGATAATGTCTGTATAGTTGAAGAGGAGGCGTGGGTTTGTGTGACAATAAATCGTGGTCGTTGTGGGTGGAGGATAAAAGCAACGTAAGCCTGAGAATGTCTTATTTGGACGGAGTTGAAAATTGCATTTCTTTTTGGATAAACTAAGCTCCTTAAAATTTTTTGTTTGATGAATTTCTTATTTTCTCTACACAGACTCACCATCTTCCTTCTTGTTTTGTTTTCTCTCCTTAGGTATTCCAGCATCTTCAGGAAACAGTTTAGACTCTCTCCAAGATGACAATCCTCCACACTGGCTAAAATCCCTTCAGGCCCTCACAGAGATGGACGGCCCCACTGCCGCTCCGTCACAAACCCACCACAGCGCCCCCTTCAGCACACAGATCCCTCTACACAGAGCCAGCTGGAACCCCTACCCTCCTCCTTCAAACCCTTCCAGCTTTCACTCCCCACCCCCAGGCTTTCAGACAGCCTTCAGACCCCCCAGCAAAACCCCCACAGATTTATTACAGAGTTCAACACTGGACCGCCACTAGGGAAAGAGGAGAATTCATTAGAAAATGCAGGATTTGTCCCACCCTGTTTTCTCCCTCTCAGCCCACTCACAGCTCCCTTCTCATCTCTTACGTTCTGAAGAATCCAGTTCCTGATCAATTATTTTTTTCTCCCTACCCCCAGATGCAATGCGATCACAGGGTCATTACCATCTTTTTCTTTAATGTAAAAGTTTCTGTTGATCCAGCATTCAAGTGACACTGTTGAATGTTTTCTAAAAATGCCTTTTTAAGGAGGAAAAAAAAAGTAATCAAAGGGCAGTCTCAAAACTTAGAAAATTACTGTTTGTCTGTTGCGCATAATAATGATATAATCTGCTTAGCAGAAAATGACGATTAATCTCTAGGAAAGGTGAAGTAAATGCATTATCAACTGCAGAAGTTTGAAAACCAGGTTGAAATGAGATTGCTAAATGCATGGGGGAAAGCAGTGGTCCTGGCATCCATCTTGTATTCAGCTTATCACTACTGCAGGGAAAATGCTTTTAATTTAATTTTTAATTCTTTTGGCAAGTTGATGGAGAGGACTTGATTGTGTTGTTAAGCTTAAGAATTTATTGGAAGTTGATGGAAAGATAAATTGATCTGTAGTAGTAACTGGCCTGTTGCTAAAGAGTTTATAAGGAGGGGAGAAGTGATTTTTTTAAAGGAGAAAAAATTTTGACTTTAGATTTAAAATAAATTCAGATGTTTTAAAGAAAAAAAGTATTCACAGATTTAATACCTATGCATAATATATAAGAGCTGAAATATAAGTGATTTTGTCAATCTTTCTCCTCTGTCAGAATCTTTTTTTCTTTTTACCGTAAATTCACCTGACTAAGGGCGCTCTGAGATAGCACTGCTCTGGGGCCATCTGATCACCATCAGGAGCAAATCTCTGACCTCCTTGCCTGCAGCTTTTACTTAACCCTGTAGTTTCTGGACGTTTGTGCAGTATTGAAAAGACAGGAGAAAAGAAAACAGAAACCTGGTTATAACCTGATGCTAAAACTAAAAAAAAAAAAGGAAATGTACCTCTTTCTTCAGAATTAAAACTAAAATCTTAAATAAAACAGAAAACTTGATGATGACCATTGGGTTGTTCTTGTTTTTGTTTTTCCATTTTGTTGCATGTGAATTTGAAATATTTTGTGTTAACAGTCATCGGGTGTGTCCATGGATTTTACATCTTCAGCAATAGGGAAGGTGGGTTAGAAGAAAAAACTAGAAAAAAAAAGTAATCTTACTGTCCGGCGTTGCCATGTGTGATGATCAGCCCATCTTATCTTCAGGAGCTCCTCTTCCAGTGGCTTTCAGTAGAAGATGCTTCTTTGTGTTGTTGCATTGTGTGGGCCACACCTTCCCAGCTGAGAAGCCTCATGTGCCAAAGGAGCACATAGGCTGTGTCGTGCTGAGACGCTGGCAGTCTCGGGGAGACTGGCAGGACCAGAGCAGGCAGGGTGCCCTCCAAGTAGCAGCACGTGTGCATGCTACGACGGGAAAGAGATCGGGAACACTGATGCAGGAAACCCACAGAGAAGTCTTTCGTGACCAACTGTTCTAGGGAGGACCTAAGAGGGAGAGATAGTCACACCACTGACCATCGGAGAGGATGAAGTTGCTAGAAATCTGTGTCATTTGGGTTATATTCAGAAGTTCAAAGCTGGAGTTGGTATATTTCCAGCTACCTCCATTAAGCATATCTTTGTGGGATGAATTAAGTAAATCCTTCTTTTTACCTTTAATATGTACTTCAATTTGATACCAAAAATTTTTTTTAACAATCTTTGAAGAGTGTGAAGCAGATTGTCTCAAATACATGTCACCACAAGTAGATATGACTGGGTGAACAGCAAATTGTGTTTTAAAAAATTAACCACAATGTAACCTGTGATAGGAGAAGACTATAGGCTGTAGGCTTTCTTTAGTCTGTAAGCTTTGCTTCAGTTGCCTACATCTTCCAGTTGCCTAAATCTTCACTTTGTGCTGCAGAGTGGTGGCCCAACACACAAGTAATATCAGGTAGTCGTGAATTATAATCAAGGCTTTGGGGCATTCAGGCCAGGGGAGTTGGTATATCAATAAAAATGTAAAAGGAGGGCAATTCTATCTTGCATGGCTGTGCTATGATTGTGTATGTGCTTAATGAATCATACATACGGAAGACCTTATAAAATATATAAATACCATTTAAAAAATAATAAAACCCTACATGCCTACCACCTAAGTTAGAAATAGAACCTATAATATCGTGAAAGACCTCCTATCTCTCCCTTTCCAATTTTCTTTCCTTCCCATCAACAGATAACCATAATCTTGATATCTGTGCTAATCTTTCTTTTTAAAATCTTGCCATGACATACATATCCCTGAATAATGCATTGTTTCATTTTTTTAAAAAGCTAATTTGCAAAGCAAAACCTAAATGTGTAAGGAAGAGCAGTATTATCACCATCAGATCTAGGCTTTTAGAAGATAAATTAAACAGATTCTCTAGGTCATAGTTTGGCTTTAGTTTGGGGAAGACGATGCAAGGCCATGAGTGAATCCTGGAGAAGGATGCCAGCGGGGCATCTGACAGGGCTGCCGTCAGCCTGACCCTGGGCGTCTGTCAGAGACACTGATGCAGTAGTCTGCTCTATTTCCTGTGTGTGAGCTCTCTGGTTTCCCTCCAGTCCTCTGAGTTGATCAAAGCCCAACCTATGGGTATGGGATGGTTTAAAGGAAGCGTCAGCTGATCGATTCACCAGGGCATGGAGGGGAGAACAGAAATCTCATTAGATTTGGTCAAAATCAGATAACTGCAAAAAAGAATCTAGACCAAACCAATTTAGGCAGTCTGCTGGCATAACAGCAGTAGGAATCTTGGTACTGACAGCCCTCAATGTCTGTCTCTGGGCTCACAATTCTTAGATCTGGTGCACTGCTGACATTCCTAGTGTTCCCTTTACCTGTCTCCTTTCTTGGGTCTTTTCCCCCCTGTATTCCTATATGCCATATCTTGGTCTTTTTTCCTCTAATTTTGTTGGAGTGACATCTTCCAGAAACTCTTTGAGAAATGCACATGGGAAATAAATATTTTAGTATTTTGCATACCTGAAAATACTGTTTCAGTTGATAAACAGTAAATTGTTGATACAGAAAATCGTAGATATTTTTCCCTTTAGAACTTTGAAGGTCTTACTCTCTTGTCTTCTTGCTTCCAGTATTACTGTTAAAAAAAATTCAAAGCCACTTGTATGTAGTCCTTTTGTCTCTCTCAGGAAGCTTGTAGAAATTGTCTCCTGTGTTCCTTGGTATGGGTCTATGCTGAACACAGTGGATACACACTAGGTTTTTAAAACCTGGTGACTTACGTCCTTCAGTTCTAGGAAATTTTCTTGACTTATTTCATGAGTGAATTTCTTGCAGTTATTTTCACTGTTCTCCCTTTCTAAAAATGTCCTTATTTTGGACTTTCGCCTTTTTTTTTCCAATTTGTCAGCTCGGTCTCTTGCTCTTTCTAGGAAGTTTTATCTCGAGTTTGTTTATACATGTAGCTGTCTTCTTGCGTTGTGTCTGTTTCTCCCAGTTTTACCTCTTTGCTCTGATCTCTGTCTTTCACATTAGAGACTTTGCAGATCCCTGGTAACTCTTGATATCCGCTCATGAATAAGACTAAAAAGCTGACAGGAAGTTTTGTAAACAGGAAGGCATGCCAACTTTGAACTTCACTTTGGAGAAGTCTGGATGGGCTGTGTTGGGCAAGACCTATTGTCAATGTCTTTGGGCTTTTTCTCCTGGGCTGGTCAGATTGTCTAGAGAAGAGTCTCATGGTGGCTGGTGAGGGTCTGAGGCCAGAGCTGCTGTGGTAGTCTCTGTATTCATTATGAGAATGTTTACTTCATCCTTGTTTTCAGTCCTTTTCTCTCCAGAGATTGTCTCCAAGTAAATACCTGTCCATTTAAGAAACATGTGGTTGCACTATGGTGTGGAGTGGGGGATTGAATCTAGGGAACTAACTTCTTGAAACAGCTTTCTCAGTAAGCTTTATTTTAGCCCCGCCCCACACATTTTATCCGTGGTTCTCAGGGCACCTGGCACTGGCAGTGTGTGCCCTTGAGGGTTCTGTGGTGTGAGTTGTGTTGGGTCTCAGCATTCTCTGCTGCTAGCGTGAAGTTTCTCATCAGCCAGGTAACTCAAACTGCTGCTTTCTTGGTCACCGCATTTTGCTCTGTCATCTCCTCTCAGAGTCTCCCTGCTTTTTTCTTTATTCTAATTTTAAGTTAAGTATGTAGGTTTAATCTACCATCTTAGTCCAGTTTTGTGCTCTGATTTTATAAGCTAATCAGCATAGTTTTTTAGGCAGTAGAGGAGCGAGCGCTAGCCACCATGTTGTGTGTGTATATATATGTATGTATATGGTTTGAATGGCACCTGCCCACATGTTTGTTCTGTTAACCTTGAAGTGGTTTCTCTCTTTTCAATATCCTCTTTTCCAATGAAGCTCTTTTGATTTATAATCATTAGTTTGTTTTCCCAAAGCTTATCATACAGGGGATTATTTTAATGATTAAAATTTTGACCTAGATGTCCACATTTACTGCAGTTTTAGGGGACATAGCAAGTCAGATGGATGTGGGTCATTTTCTAGGCTACCCTGAGTTAGAGCAATTCTGGAAATTGCAGAGGAGGAAATAGCCTCCCCTTGGCGCTGTATGGATTATATTTTGTGAGCAGGTAATAAGTGTCAACAGTGTGTATCCACAAGGATTATGCCATGACAACCCATAACAGAGCTGAATACAGTTAGCACTCTCCACCACCTGCCTGAATTTAAAGACATAGCATCCATTGCACATGTTATTCAAGTTTTCTATCAAGTTTTTACCATAGTCATTTGATTTAAGGTCCTTGTTATATTTAGGGTATGTAAACTTTAAAGAGTTGACAGCTTATATACTTTAAACATAATCATGAAACATATCCTTTGTCAGATATGGCTATTTCCACTCAAGAGA